AACAATTTACTTTTGCAAGAAATGAATTTAGATTCTATTTCATGTGTCATATTTTACTCTTTACAGATAAATATTTTTATAATTAAAGGATTAATCTATTTTTAATATATCTTATTACATATTACATTTTAATCTATTTAAATTTATTTAGAAATTAATTAGATATGTTTTACATGAAAATCATAGATATGTTATACATTTATACATAAATTTAATTTATTAGTTTTTTAAGCTTTAATACTAAGTAATCTTATTTTGGATTTTTATTGATAATAATAGTCATGTAAACTTATAACTAATATTTCTAATTTTTATCTAGTTATAAAATATAACTTTTTACCATTAAAAATTGCAACATTTTTTGCTTCAGATCGGCTACAATTTGATTTAACTAATATTCCAAAGATCTTCTTAGTTCCAAATTTAGATCTTTCACAAAAAGATAACTTTGATGCTGTATTCCCGTTTGCGAAAGATGGCCTCTTAACTGAAGAATGCAATATTGTTATGCACGTGAAGCAAATGCAAGAGAAGGTATTATAAACATAAGAAAAGAACAGATTCAGTTTATAAAGCTTATTATTGACATATTGTATTTCTTAATTTAAATGTTTATTATATTATAAAAATAATTAGACAATACACAAATATATATAAAAATGAAGTTTTCGATGTTTTATTATTTGTTTTTAATTTATACAAAATATGTTGCTGCAGCTTAGTCACTATTTGGATGTTGTGGAAGTCCGAATAGCGGAGCAGGTTGCGTCAAAATCTCAAGCCTTTTTCCATGCAATGACATCTCATGATGTGCTTATGGAACAACTCACACAAACTATTACGGTTCTAAAGGCACTTAGGAAAAATATTCATCAAGTCGATAAGCATCTAGTCAAGAATTCTTTAGAAATTTTACGGTAAGTTTGTATATATGTAACGTATGAACTATTTAAAACATTTACTACATTAGTATTTCTTAAAAAAACATAAAATTAAGTAAAATAGAAATATAAATTAATAACACAAGAAAGGAATGGTTTTGCTAAAGTAAATAAATTTTACTAAATACAGATTTGAAAATAATGTGGGATTATTAAAATAATTATGTAATTATATATTTAATTTTATACATTTAACTTGATATTTATTGTTTTTGGTTGTAGCTTGGAGCGCGCTAGATCTAATAGATTAATGGTTCAAGAAAAATTAAAACTTATGGCAACTGTGCATCAAAGTCAACCGATGATACAATTATTGTTGTCTACGCCAGATTATGTTGCAGCATTAGATCTTATTTCTACGACGCAAGAAATTCTCTTGCAAGAACTGAACGGAATACATAGCTTTAGGTAAATAGAAATTCTGAAAAAATTATTTTTATAATTTATGATTATTATTTTATTAATAAAAAATTATTGAAATATTTACAACTTGTTATAAATGTTATCTAGACATTTAAGTTCTCAACTAACCGAAATGGAGAAGCTTGTGGATAAGATGCTGTCGACTGAGTTTCAAAGATACGCAACAGCGGATCTCAATAGGCCATTAGGTGGCGAGAATACCGTTTTAGATGGTGTAAGTACATAAATAATGTTACATCACATTATATTCTTTGTTTTTAGCAAACAAACCTCCATACATCTCTTCCCAGTAAGATTGTTTATACACTCTTAATGAATAGGATAAACTAGTCTCCATCATTTCTGGTCTACTACGTCAAAAACATTTTCAATTCGTGGATACATACAAAGAGGAAGCTGTGACCACTGTAAGAGCCTTAACAAAGCAACGGGTGATAGAAGCTTTGGCAGCGAGTGATTGTTGCAGCGATCAGCAAGCAGCAGCTCTCGAAGTCGGAGGTCTCTCATTGACGGAAAGATTATCTTTGCTTCACAATACTATACAATCTTTCACTTTTCTTCTATTACGAGTTAAGGTAAACAATTTAATAATTCTATCAATTTAATAATTCTATGTATATATATATATGTATATACATACTTATGCTCTCCTTCATTATATTCTGCTTTACATTATTTATTGTGGATTTTTAATTTTTAACATTAAATGTCTTGTGTAACTGAGCATTAAAATTCATATTAAGATTTTTTAATTGTGTCGCTGTGGAATAAATGAAACGTGTGTTATATAAAACCTGTTTATTATATAATATATAATAAATTAACAGGAAAGATTATATAATATTCTGTTATATTAGGCAGTTCATGATGTAATGAAAGACACCGCGGATTTATCAGCAGGACGTTTATGCGATGGCTCATTTGATGAATCCGTACCTGATCGTTTATTGACTCGAGAAGAGCATTCGCGAGTGATTACTAAACTCTGTGACATGATTACTTCTGTGTGTGATTACTGCCACGAGCGAATGGGAAATCTACTTTCAGCTGGGGCAAGTGAGAAGGATAAATTCCACAACGATAAGGACAAGATAATTGCTGATGTTTCACAGAATAAATTAGAGGATAAAGACTATCATACTTGGAATGATAAGAACTCTTGGTTGAGTGAGAGAGCAACAGCCGCTCAAGTTTGCCAATTAGCCAATATGGTCGAAGAATTTACACACACCTGTGAAAAACTTTGCGGCAAACAATGTACTGCTTTACGATCGGCATTTAAAGTAATTATTATTTGTGCATGTCATTTAAAATTTATTTATTAAATGGAATAATCCTTTTATCAATGCATAATTCATATTTTTTACAGGCGCAAGCAAGTAAATTTGTACATCGCTTTCATAATGAACGCAAAACTAAGCTGACGCTACTATTGGAATCTGAAAGATGGAAACAAGCTGATGTACCATTAGAATTTCAGTCATTAGTAACGTACGTATACGAGAACAAACATTTTCCACTCAAAATACCCACGTGCGAGGACAGCATGAAGAATGAAAGCGTGGGGAATTTCATCATAGTTGGCGATGAAAAATTTGCTGTTGTTGGAACTGCTCTAATGCTTATACAGATGATACACGAATATTGCAGGTAAAGCTAAATTACAAAGTATTGTTCGTAAATCTTTCATAATATGACATACTTTGTTTTTAGGACTGGTAGTGAATTAGTTGCCTTGTCTGGAACTGTAGGAAGACAATTAGCCGAATTGTTAAGACATTATAATTCACGATGTTGTCAACTAGTTTTGGGTGCGGGTGCAATGGAAGTTGCAGGCTTGAAAACTATTACAAGCACGATTCTCGTATTGGCGGCGCGAAGTCTTAAACTTGTATTGTGGTTTATGCCTTTCGTGAAAGCACATTTTCAAGGTGATTTAACATGTTGAATTATTGCGTTAAATATAATTTAAAAACATATAAAATTTAGCAACAAATAAAACGTTAAATATGAAAAGATTTACTTAAAAATATTCTACATACGCATTTAATATATTCAGCACTCACGGGACAAAATCCAAGTCGAGGACTCATTGGCATGTCTGGTATTAGTGGAGGGGTAGCTCTATTAGATAGCGTTGAAAGAGATATTCGCGCACACGTTCGTGAAATTGAAGGAAAAATCCTCATTATTGTAGATAATTTATTAGGTGGACAAATATCTAAATGGACAGCAAGACCTCCAGTGCCATCCAAATCTTTCAGAAACATTTCTAGGTAAGTATTTGGATAATGTTTATAAATATTCAATATTTATAACGATTATGATGTCTAACATTCTTGTCTTTCAAAATTTTATTTTTATTTGTAGTTATCTAATGAAACTTCATGAAGCTGTTTCTGGTATTTTGCCTACTGTCGAAGTACAATCTCTTTACCGTACGGTAAATTCATCATTCAAGGAAAAACTTAGAGAACAACTAGTTAAAATGAATATAGTGAATAATGGTGGCCCACAACACGGTGTGGTTACATCAGAACTTACATTTTATCTTGAAGCCTTAAGAAAATTAAAAGTTCTACCGAATGAAGAGTTAAATGACAATTGGATGAGCGACATATGGACTAGATAACATGCAGAGCGCGTAATATACTGCATTATAGAAGCAATGAAATATTATAGAAAAAGATGACTAAAAAAATCAGTGCATTTGTCTTCCTTTACTCATTATATTTAAAATATGAAACATATAATAACAATGCTCTTCGATTGTCTGATGAATTTTATGAAAGAAATATTATTTGCGTTAAATTTTGAACATTATGAATACTTTAAATAACTATTGATAATTTAATATGACAAAAAATAATTATACATATTGGCAGATTACGACATAGCTTTGCTAGTTTGATGTGAAAAGAAATAAGAAGTTTCTATAAAATACATATTTAATATTGAAAAAAGAATTTGCCGCTAATTATAGCTGATTTTGTATTAAATTAAACAATATTAATTTACTAAAATATTGTTTGGTATCGTTCATATTTAAAACTATAGTTTTGTGGATACATTCAACTAATCTGTCATAATATGTTCACCTCTCTCTCAAGCAGTCTTTTACTGACCATAGTGTTCAAACAAAATTAGTGTAGAATATACATATATCTATCATAGAAACTTTGAAAATATTATTTTCCAGGATAGACAAAAGAAGTATAGACAAAAATTGAAGGAAAGAACAGCATCTATTTATTTGTAATTTAATGTTACATTTCGCAAACGTTTCAGTATATAACGGTGCTGCAACAGGACCAAACGTAATAACTTGTAAGATTTTGTATAATATATATATTTATTGCGATTTACTGCGTATGCAGTACTTTTAAAGTTACACGTTTCTTTAAAAGGCTTTTTTTCATAATGAAAATTTTATATCAGTATCAATCAGATTCAATCAAGTTCATATATGTATGTACATACAAATTAAAAATGACAAATGTTTTAATTATTATATATTTATTATTATTATTATATAAATTAATTGTACATTGATTATAATTAATTAAAAATAAAAGTTTGTAACAATATATGGTCCACGTTTAAGAGAAATTGTAATAAAAATATATGTGCTTTTTATTTATACTTCGGCAAAAAAAGAATGCATAATGATATTAATGTTTTTAATTTATATACATAAACTAATGAGACTCCTGTGCAATTGTGTTAATTTGTTATTATAATTAAATATGAAACATAATATGTTTTTCTAATGATGGAAAATGTTTTGGCTATTTTAGAAACTATTCATTCGTATATAATAATTTATAAATTGTTGAATTTTATTGCGGATTGTAAGATATACACCATTCCTGATTTGATCTAGTCCAAGTTGTACATAATGTATGCAAGGAAAATATATTAAAAAATAATTAATTTAATTAATAAATAAATTTGCGAATTGTACACGTGTTATGCGCGTCATGATTTAGCGGAGACATATTAACATGTTGTAAAGCTCTGAAAACATTTTTATATCACAAAGAAATCAAAGAAGCTAAATGAAAGTGTTCAGAGTCGATGATTACAAAAGATATCATTGTAGATTTCTTTATCAAGACTGATGAGATCTTCCGTTAGATCATTGCGCATATAATTAAAACGTTACGCAGACGAGTGATTAACGTAGGTGTAAATTATTATATCTTGTACTATCGTGATGTATTCTGAGCGTTAACATAAACAATTAAAAAGTAATTGTCATTAACTGGAAACAGTATAATGTTATTTACTTAAATAAACTGCTCCTAAAAATGTTTATCAAATTTTGTAATCTAGGATTGCATAGTGAGAACTGGATTGATAAGAATTAATTATTTATATCACACATAATAAATAGTTATATATTGAAGATGAATATGCTCTATTGCTCTATATTATATGCGAAAAGGTTTTTATCGCGTAGGTATACAATTATTATTTGTTTTTTATAGTAATTTATATGTCATATAAAAGTGATGCAAGTGAGTGGCTGAGCCATGAACTGAGCGCTTACCTTCGTGTCCTTCGTCTCCATGGTAATACAAAGTGAAACATATCCATAACCTGAAGAAACATGGAATTGTGCGAATAAAACTATAGTTTTCAGTATCATTCTTTATTGTGTTTTAAAAATGACTGCAGAAAACTGGTAATTAATTTATTATAAATATATATTAAATTTGTTACAGCTTTGTAAAAAGAAATGTATTAATATAATATATTATTAAATAATTATAATCTGAAGCTATATCGATGAGTAATATTTTAAAAAATACTTTTCATTATTTCCTAATTTTGGAAGAATAATTAATAAATATAAGAATAATTAAATAAATAATTTAAAGAAATCTATCTGTAATTATTTAATACGAATATAATTCAGTTTTGTAATTATTTGCCTTTTTTATTTACAATATTTATTCATAGCAGTTAACATCACATGTTTTTAACATTATAAAACTAATTATGATAGAATGAACTTTCTAGTGAGGAATCTATGCGAGAAACTGCATTACGGCTCGCAGTAGAAGAAGAAAATAGACGCAAAATTGATCCAAATGAAACTCACGAACGATCCATTATTATCCTTGGCAGCAAGGGAGTTGTAAGTGATGAAATTAGGAGCATACTATTATCGCGCGATGTATTTTGCATTTCAAATTGCATTTGTAGGGTAAAACAACAATGGTGTATCGATTTCTTGAAAAAGATGAAAGACCAAAACCAACTATAGCGATGGATTATTCATTTGGTCGCAAAACTGTGAAAAGTTTAGTAAGTGACGACTATGTGTACTTAGTTTTCTACAAAAATACATGTAGGGGTTATAAAGTTTAATTTCTTTGCACTGAAGAATTATAAACCTATATTAGCTACAAATTTTAGAAAATAAATTTATATGTTTATAAAAGTGAAATTATTTAGTAATAATTGTAATATTTTTATCATAAAAAATGTTAGTATATTTATTATCTAAATCAAATTTTTCGTTACTTTATTATTAAATTAAATTTCTAAATATTGTACTGCTGTAGGTGAAAAATATAGTGCATGTGTGGGAAGTGGGTTACTTGGCTTCTTCTTTGGTATCTGTTGCGATGACAGGTTCTACATTAACACATTCCCCTCATCACACCGTGTTATTAATAATGCTAGATTTATCGCGACCAGAAGAATTATGGTCTTCCTTCGAGGAAGCCCTTTCTGTAATACAAAATGGTTCGAAAATGAGTTACAACACTAACACGATTCAAGAATTACGGGATAAGAGGGCAGCAGATAGAAAGAAAGAATTGGAACGTGGAGTTGATCCATTTTTTATGAAAATATGTATTATAGGTGGACGATATGATGAATTTAAGGTATTTGATAAATATATAATACATATGTGTATATATATATATATATATATATATATATATATGTATATATAATTATAAGAAGAGTGAAAAGAGACATACGTTTCCTGCATTGTACAAAGATAAAATTAAAAAGTGTTACAGTAATTTAATTCATTGCTATATGATAATAATATTATAAAAAATTATAAAGTTTTAATATATTAAACTCAAAAAGTGTACATATAAGTTATTAATATTCTTTTTAAACTTTGAATATTTCAAAAGAAAACTGACATAAATTTTATAACTTTTTATAATATTGTAACATTTTAGAGTTTACAACAATTTATTTCAGTATTATCTATTTTTTTCTGTGATTAACTTCTGTAGGAATTTGATTCGAATAAAAAAGAATTTATTGGAAAGATATTGAGAGCGATAGCTCATAATCTAGGTGCGAGCCTTTATTACTATTCCTCTAAAGATAAATTTCTCGTACGACGACTTAAAGATTTATTATCTCATTATGGATTTGGTTCTTCATTTATGTAAGTTTTGATAATAAGTTTGATTTAATAAGTTTTAATATTTATCAAGAGCTTATTTATATTTTATAAATTACATTGTGATTCATCTCGACACTATGTCTTTGTACGAAATGAAACGCAAGGGAGGATAAGTGTACGGATTATGAGAAACCGTTAATGATGCCGGCGGGCATGGATTCTTTCGGACGAATCGATTTGCAATTCCCTCAAACGAGACCATCGGCAATTTTGGATACTATCAAACAGATCTACGTCTCACGTATACCGCAAGTGTCGAGGAGTGACGAAAGTACTTTGGAGGATCCTAGTAATGACCCTAACTTTAACGAGCCTATTATCGATAGATTGAGAATGCAGCGGGAAGAGGTATATGTTTGTTTGTTCATTAACTCTGCTTAATAGTTAGTAAATGTTAGCTTGCGTAAAAGATTTGTTAATCTTAGGCATTACAAGTAAACCAAAGTAATTATTTTTTTCCAGGAGATCAGTGTACTGCTAAATGACATGATGGAAGGCCGTATGCCGAAAATTCCTGTACCCGATCCAATTTAGAGAGTATAAATATTTTATGTATCTATTGCGATTTTGAAGCAGTAAATGAAAATAGATAATTTATTTGAAAATTAAATGAAAATTGATAATTTATGCCATATTATATTGTATAAGTCATAATATACAGAATTAATAAATTATTTTATACATATACATTAATAATGGGACATATATTTTCTTAAGATCATAAATGCATCAAAACCGCATTACTTCCTTCTACAACTTAGTACTTAGTAAAGATAAGGAAAACAAACTGTCGCTAGCTTTGTTTCTTGAGATAAACTGATAACAAGACTGTAATAATACCTCTCTTCTTAAAACGAGGAAGAAAGGAAGCAATAATAATGAAGATAAGATAAACATATTTTAGATAATGATTTTATGAATAACATCTTTTTTGACATTTTATTGAAAGAGATGTTTTAAAAATATTTCTAAAAGAAGAAACGAGATTGTTTTTTAAATGTTTAAATTGTTTATACTTTATTGATGATTAATTTCCTTTTCGTGTACTATATTTTTATACATTTCTTAATATAACAACTTTTTATATAAAGTTCTTGAAATCTTTTTCTGCAGAAGTTAAAAGTATAGAAGAAAAATTGAAGAAACCCTTTGTCATTTGAATTTAGTATTGCTCCAGATAAAATAATCACGTTCTAGAAATCTTCTCTCTTCTTTTTCTCTTTTTACTATTCTTTCGGATAAAAAAATAAGTCTAAATCTCAATAACGGTTGCACAGTGTCCGAAGAAATTCTCTCATAAAATAATTAACATTTAATAAAAACTCAGGGTAATCTAGAAACCCAGTTCGTTCCTGCTTCGTTCGCGTTTCTCCTTTCATCGTAGTGCCCCCGAAACCCCGTCTCCTTTTCCCTCCCACACACAATAGCCAAGAGGGGTGGTAGGGAGAAAACGTCCCGCAGCACCGCGCCGACGTGTCGCTGATAAGAGGTACCGCGCACGTTCGCGTGCGCCCGTCGTAAATGGAAGCGCATGCGTATCCCGCTCCGGTCGCTCCCGATACGCGCAGGGTATCCGAGCATTTACGAAAACGGGGCTCCGGCTGGGGGGGTCTCGCCACGAAGAGCTCTCTCGTTTCCTTGCCATCGTTTCCTCAGTGAAAATGCCGCCGCGATAGAGAGCCGCGCGTGCTCTCCTCGAGCTCTGGTCGCGCCCCCCTCCGTGACAAGAGTCGGCTGTCTTATCGATAGAAGCTTACTCGCGAGACCAACGCTGATACTCACCCGCTAATTACTACACGCTAATCAATCGCACGCGTGTTGCTCGCGATTTAATCTTGCTTCTCTTTCCCGCTGTCTTACGTTCTCCCTGCTCCATTTCCCTTTTCCGCGCATCACCTTCTCGTTCCTTTTCGTTCTTTGTCGGCCCTTATCACCGCCCTCCTTCCGTCTTATTCCCTCCCCCTTTCTACGTTCCTTTTTACACGCGCGATACGCACCGCTAAGTCTACGGTTTGACAGTCCGCGAGTGTCACGGATCGTTTTTCGCGCCCGCGGACTGTGGACGCCGCTTCCGGAGAACGGCGCACAGGTGTAGTCAGGTGAGTTGCGAGACATGTAGCAACTCCGAATGACAGAGTGAGAGAAAGAGAGAGAGAGAGAGAGAGAGAGAGGGGGGGGGGGGAAAGAGAAAGGGAAAAAAGAGAGACGACAATTATGATTCGCCAGAGGCACGAGGGGTATCGACGGAAACCGGTCGCGATGATTCTCAGCGCTCTTGCGAAAATCGGAGCCATCAGCCAAGTGCTGAATTGTGGAGAACGCGAGCGCGCGCGCGCGGGTTCACGTCACGCGACCCATTTACCTGCGACGTGCGTCGCGATCGTCGTGGCCTCCCCGCGACGCCGCTACCTTCCTCGCCGTTATCGATTCTGCTATGAACGCGCCCTCCGCTGACAGATATCTCGCTGTCTCTCTTTCCTTTAGCGCGAATCTTGAATCGGCACACGTACGGCTCAATCGGCGATCGATGACATCTACCCGCGCGTATACACGTGAGATTTATGCAACACGCTCCGGCCACGCGTGAGATTGTGCTCATTGAGATTATCCGGTTGGATTGTACTTTGAATAATATCGTATGCCGGCGAGATTTCTTTATGGATGTCTTCCGCGTATTTTTTTCTTTCAATAGATTGTCGCGAAAGGAGAAGAATTCGTTACAATTGCTATTTTAGGAAATTAAGGTGATTATCTTCTTTTTATTGTTAAATTATCTACAGTATTTTTTAAAGATGTTCATTAACTTTAGTATACGGAAAGAAGGATTTTTTTGGGTGAAATATTTAAAAATTTAGCTAAATGCTAGATCTGAAAATAATTTTGTTGAATCATCAAAATAATTATAAATTTAAACGTGATGCGGCAAAAATTTTTAACATTTTAGCAACCAATTTGTATATTTTTCATAATTATTTTGCTAGTTGAACAAAATTATTTTCATATCTCTATTTAGTTAAATTTTTAGATACTTTAGCAAAACCGTTTTTTTCGTGTAATATTAAATTGCTTATCACTTAATTTGTGATATTATGTACTCCAGCTGCAATTTAGGACTGTTTTAATATTGACAAATAATTGGCGCCTTGTTTGCTTGAAATGGAAATTGTAACATTTACATAAAAATATTAGGCACTAAAATCTTCCTTGATCGAATATGGTCTTCTTTGCTTATTTTTTTGTTAAAATGACGTGTTCTTTGTGATCTGTTACCGCAAATTAACGTTATCGCAAGCTAATTTAGTTTATGTGATTTTCTATATTACACTTGTTTCCATATATTTTTTTTTTCTTTTTGAATTTTGGGTATAAATATCTATTTTACTGTGTTATATGTAAATCATATATAAATTATTATTCAACAACGTTATCGTCCAAGTATTGAATAGAGTGTGCATTGAATGCTGTTTTTAATATTTAATTATTGCCGATTATTGATCGCATCGCTCGATTGAGTATATTAGAACGTACTCGTAAGAGAATCTTAATTTAATCATAAATTTAAGAAAATTTTTGATCTCTTTTTACTCTTTATATGAAATTTAATTAATGTCAAGTTTAATGAATGAAGTTTAAACTATTATTCGATTTTTTGATGCGCATGACTATTTAATGATACAAATTCTCTATTACAAAATATACTTTATACATTTTCACACGCACATTTATTTAACAATCTGTTTTGAAATATCATCTTTATTATACTTTTATTACTATGAGGCAGTTCCAGTCATCGCGTAAATTATTGTTTCCGTTAACTAGTTTTTTATGATAGTGTATTCTCTCCCTCTCTTTTTTTTCTCTCGTTTTCTTTGTTCCTTTCTTTCTTTCTTTGCTTAAGATAGAATTCTTTCTTTGATATAAAAAGATAACTGTTTCTTGAGCATAAGCGGATGCCCAAGCGAACGTGCTAAGATCACTTAAGACCGGATATTACGTGCTTGCCCTCGCAACGATTTTGGACGCTGGGTCAGGCACCTTTTTGTAATCACTCGAATCTTTGCTCTTTATAATTCTAATACCGTGCTTGCAATATGTGCATACTGAATATCTTCATTAATTATTTTGAACAACATGTCTTGATTGCTTCGGAAAAACTGAACTGACAATTCTCATGTACTTCCTAAAAAGACCAGCAAATCGTAAGCAAGACATTTGAAAATGATTTACATAAGGCAGTGTCTTAATTAAAATTGATAGATTAAAAAAAATTAAAACTCATATAGTGAAACATAGTTTATTGTACATACTTGCTAGACATATGTATTGTAATATTGTAAATCACTGCAGAAGTCTGCAATCACCGCAATAATAGATTTAATTTCCCTAATTCTGGGATGGCACGATTTGCTACTTTTTTTACGGATTATATTTCCAATATGAACGAAACGAAGATAAAATTAATGCTAATTGATGATTTATTTCGATAGAAGTATTGGGATTAATTGAATAATTGGATAAAAGCTAGACATATCATATTCTTCATATCATATTCTTGCATTTTATTTTGCGATCGGGCATTTAATTATATAATAAAATTAATATCTAGTAACATATTTTACTACATTGAAAATATCTCAGTTAATAGAAGTGATATATATGAGTGTATTTGAAAAGACGATTCACTATCTGATCACTGTGTCACTAACAATAAGTATTAGCATACTATCCTAGTCATGAAAAATTGCTGACTACATGTATTCTGTCCTATGCGTCATTGTGTAGCATATAACGGAGGCATATAGTTTTGTGCAGTCGAGGTCATCCTTAATGCCGTACTCTCCGCATCGTGATTAACCTTTCCCAACTTGATCGACTGATCTCAGCGAAATGAAATTTCGGGAGTAATTATCGTCGGACGAAATAATGATTGTATCTTTCGTGCGACGGCTCTTAAAAGATACAATATCATATTTTTGTTTTCATTATTCTGTACTCGGCTTTATTGCCGGCTTATTGAGAATACTCCAAATTTTTATGGTGATGTGATTGTTTCAATGGATCTCTTCTCATTTTCCTTACTTCGTAATTTGCCTTCTCATATTTAACTGTTAAGTTTTTATTTAGCCGCAAAACTTTTCGTGATCTCGTCGACCTTGATCTCGCTAGTCGTTCTGCATGTCGCTCAGTATATTTTTAATTCCTGTTTGAAAGCACATCTTTTTCCTTCCTTCGTCTCTAAGTTGTTGTTGCGTTCTTCGCAGCTCAAAATATTCCAGACCGGTTCTTATTTTCATTTTTGTATCTCTTTCCCACAAAAAAATTGATATTTAAAAATTGATATTTAAATAACATATATTTAAATAATATACCGGGACTATTCTTTTAAATCTTAAAGATGTGGATATATTTATTAATTATCTCTATTGTATATTTAAATATACCATTTAAAGGTATGATTGCTGTTCAGTTACATTGGTCTTGAGATGAATATCGTCCGAGAGATCAATCGAAATGAACCTCTTGTTTCTTTCTGCCGTGTCCTTGTCCTTCTTTCGGGGACAGTGAAGGACCCCGGCCTTCATACCGGCGAATTTGATTTGACGAGGTAGATTATTTCATCGTGACG